ATGTTAAGGGATGAGTGGAATAAAGAATTAGAAGTTTCTATATTGCCTAGACAATGGGAGATTGTCTTAACTTCTATAGCAAGAGTGTCAGTGGACCTCAAACTATGACTTATACAACACAAAACAATATTTAGAATTTATTGGACTCCACTACGTGTGTATAGAAAAAGATTGTCAAAAACAGCATTTTGTTGGAGATATAATAAGGACAATGCCTCTTTAAAGCATATGTTTTTACAATGTCCTATACTTACTATGTTTTGGGAGAAAGTAGACTATATAAATATGATAATGTGACAAAAGCTAAAGTTTTCAGAGGTTAATATTCTTTTGAACTACTGTATGTTAAAACACTTTTATATATATGTTTTCTTCTTTTTGTAATTTAAAAAAAAATAAAAAACCAACAAGGGCTATGTGAATTTAGTTTGAAGGGTACTTTGACCCCCAAGAGCACCAGTTGCCTACCCTGACTCTAAACAGACAAGTTTCATATGATACAGAGAGTATTATTGCTTGCTTGCTTGCTTTATTTATTTATTGTATTTATATAGCCGCCCATCTCACACAAAGTGACTCTGGGTGGTGTACAACAATTAAATTCATGGAAGTGTAATTATTTGTTGCATTTCTAGAGTGTATTTAGGAGATACACCCAGGTGACAGTATTTTTATTTGCTACAGATTCTTATGGTACATATTCTCCAATCCTCTCTATGACAGTTCAGTGTTCTCCATAACAATAAAAGTTCTTCTAAATACTTAGATGTTCTAAGTAATAAGTATATGTTGCTGATTTAATGTATTCAGAATATTAGTTTATATAGCCAATGATAATGTATTCTGACTGAAGTAGCCTTTAGCATCATTTTAGATTATTTACAGTGAAAATAAGAGATGTGGAACCTGGGATTCACAAATAATATTTCTGAATTTCAGCATCATTCCTTTTCTGTTGATCATTTAAGGAAGGGGAGATATATTGACAATAATTTATATTAGTGTAATCATTATGGTCAGAATTAAATTTATGTCAGTCACCTATTCATGATATTAAAAAAAGAGAATGAACAACTGCATCTGACACAGTGTAAGAGTTTGGCTATGTATTACAGACATCACATTAAAAATAACCATGAGTAGGACAGACTGGAGAGGGATGCACATTAATGCACAAGGAAGTAAGAATTAGCTGCTTTTCTTAATCCTTGTCATCTCTATTTTAACAATCTTTTCTCTTCTCAGCTACTGCATGAAAAATAAAATAAGCAACATGTTTCACATATTCTCCATCCATTGCAGTCTGTAGGGATGCTTTAAAATTGTCAGGTTTAGGAACTGGCATATAGTATATGTATCTTATTTTTGTTCTAATCAGTATAGCAAGTTATAGAGCTGAGACTGAGTAGGAGAAGTCACAGGACTTTAAACCACCCCCATATGAAATCTTCTATCTAGGGAAGTGTATTGGACATGCTTATGCTTGTGCTCTGGGGCCAGGGAGATCTTTCTGAATGGCTGGATTTTTTGGGGTAGTTGGTGTAGGCCTGAAAGAATATGCATAGCTTGCCCAGTAACTTAGGAGAAGGCAGACTTGGGTAAGTGATGGTTTACTGCTGAACTGCTGGAATTACATCGTTACTTACTATATATAGGGAGCTACTTGACCAAGGGGGTTAAACTGTTAGACATTAGCTGTATAAAGTAGCAAATAGGAAACAAGAGTTGGATCATCACTAATGTGCATTTGTAACTTCATTCTTTTTTTGATATATATCAAACACAAAATAGGGTATTATCATAATTGAGCATTCAATGCCAATTTGTTGGCTTTTTGGCAAAAAAGAGAAAAACAAAACCGATCTCCATATGATATTCTTGCATACTGCAGTCTCCCATTGTGATGAAATGAATAATTTAAACAGGGACTCTGATACCAGAGCTTCTTTAAAGGTTCCATTTCCTTTAATGCTGCGGAGACTATTTTCACTTTGTTAATGTGAGACTGCTCTTCCCGAGATATACAGATAATAAGTAGTAGTAGTGGTAGTAGTAGCAGTAGTAGTAGTGGCTTAGTATATATTTTCTATCAAGTAGTAGTTGTGACATACTGAAAAAGATAATTTTTTTAAAAGAATCAAAAGTATTTTGCATCTTACATCTGAATGAAATGAGGGATTTGATTTAACTATTGGTATATTTGGTATTTGGTTTCTGTGTTTGTCAGTTTGTAATATCTCAGTCTTTTGGGACTGATGGGTCCATTTCACATCTTAATAAAATATAGTCAAAGAAAAGAACTTAGTTGAATGTTTGGCAGTTCACAAAATGGCTGCTAAAATGGCATGACCTCAGGTAGAAAATACATTTTTCTAGAAGGCAAATTAGAATTCTTGCTCACTGCCTTCCTCTCTATCTATTCCCGCCCTCACTAACTAACTGTTAATCATTAGCTTTCCTTTGTCTTTTTTCTAAGTGGACACCTTTATAAACAAAAGATTGGGCTGCAGCCACTCATCATTTTTATTTTATGAGAATAAGAATGCCTAGGGGGCACATATGAAATTCAGGGGCATTCTTGGAAATAACAATGATTCTAGAGACTGTTGCTTTGCTTAGTGTAGGCTAGCTTTCTATTAAATTCAATTAAAAATAAAATATGCTTTAAAAATAAGGTTGGTCAGGGCATCACCCTCATGCATCTTTTATGCACTGAACAAAACCAAAACTAATTCCTTATATATATATTCATTATTATCATTTATGTTAGTGCAACTTATAGTAGGTTTTAGAAAGGAAATTATGTATTTAAATTAGTATGCTTTCTAAATATCTGTATAGTCTTTGTTAAGATATAGAGATGAGTTCAGTAAAGAAACTGAGGTGAATTCTATAGACCTTATATAATTGATGGAGATTGCCCATCCAGCCTTCTAGCATGAATCTTTTTGCAACCTCAAAAGCAATCAATATCCATTTCTGCTGTCTTCAAGCTTGTTTACAAACCATTGGTATATAATTCAAAAGAACAAGCAAAACCCAGTGAATTCTTTAGAGCAAAATTAATATGAGATAACTTGTATCCAAAAGGAAACCAGTAACACAGCTGACCATGCATATGGCCATGCATTTTGAGCACCATATTTTTTTCCTAAATAATCCACAGGTGCGTAAGTCTTCCTAATTTTAAATCCACACAAATTTGCTTGAAAGTTTCATTCTCATTGTTGTTATTTCCAGTTGCCTCACGTGTCATGGGAAAAAGATAAAACACAAGATACTGCATTCAGTTTAAGTCCAGTATATATTCCCTGGCAAAATTCTTTTTTAATCTAACAGCCAAAGAAGAAGAGTTTCTTTTATTGAACTTACCTCCTATTGAAAAAAAGGAGCACATCACTTTTTTCCTGGACAGCAGGTTTCAGTAATTCTTTGAATTTCAGTTTACATAAATCAGTCAAATAAATACCCAATAAAAAGTATATATTTTTCTTGTCCATGCCTTCTTTTTCCTTTGAGTGTAGGGTAGTGATTTTACTGCATGGTTCTGACCAATGGGATTCTAGGCTTTGCCATTAGCCTTTAGGCATATACGAATTCTTATTTAAAAAGTGTTATATTTGATATATGACAGATGGAAATAGAACAAACTGTCAAATTTCTTCCCCCTTGCTTTTTTTTTTTTTTTTATGATTTTCAGTTTTGTTACTGGCATATCTATGTATGCTAATTTAAATATCCAAAGGTAACTTCTAATTGTAGAATCTGAATTATATGGCATACAATGTAACCATCGTTATTTTAGTACTGGTAAAAATACAGATTATTGTAATCATACATATGTTTACGCAGAATAAGGTTGTATAAAATGGCAGGGGACTTTGGGGTTGGAGGAAGAATGCAGTTTGGAATAGTTCATACTAAATATAATGGAAAAGGTTTTAGATTTTTTTTTCTGTGAAGATGCATGTTGTTAGGCTAATTTGATCTAACAATTAATTATAAACTCCTCTAAAATTATTGATGATTTTTATTACATTTGTCATCCTATTGTTAAAACAACTTTTTGAGAAGTTTAGAAATTTGTATTAAGTAGGTATCCATTAGAGGGCTCTCGAGGTTTTGAGTTGAGCAACCTTGATAGTGATAGTTCCAGAGCTTTGCTTGCTCACATTTCTTTGTTTTTCTTTTTTATTTTACAGAAAAGGTCACAGATTGCCTACAGTGACGAGGTACGGAATGAGCTCCTAGGGGATGATGGGAATTCCTCAGAGATCCAGGTAGGATGCTAATCAAGAAGCCCTAGTGGGTGGCTGGAGGGTGAAGGAGGTCATTGGCACACTGGGCTTCTCAAGCTGCTTCTTAACAGCATTAGTAACAACTCATGTGGAAGTGATACTGTTTAATGCAAAGCTGGGGCCTTAATCAACTTCAAAATGATTCTTGGAGATCTTACAATTTAACCCTTTACCTTGGATTACCGTCTGCTATTTAAAAAAAAATACAAACAAAAAACAAAATATTTTCTCCTCTTTTTCTTTATTATTTAGTACTTAAGGAGTAGCTTGAAATACAGTGTTTCCCAACAAACCCAAGGTCCTCACCCCAAACACATGTAAAAGGAATACAAATTCACATAATACAGCTTTGATAAGAATGAAATATAATTAAATCAACACTGGAAGGCAAAACAAATGAAAATGGGATTTTAGAATGTGAGTTTCTTTTCCTGTGTAGTTGCCTCTCTGAACAAGATTTTGTTCTATGGTACAAAACTGCACATTATGCCAAACATTATATAGTTGTAATTGACTTAGTATAAATATTAGCATTTTAAAGAAATATTCTAGATATTATATTCACAGTATTCATTACAATATTGCAAGTGGTCAGGAAGGGTTTTTACAATTATTAGAGCAAGTGTTTTCATGGTTCTGCACCCTTCTTTTACCCAAAGCTTACTCTGGAATAAAGATCTGTAAGAATGTTTGCTTTCATGCATTATAATATTTTTAAATAAATTTTTTATAACTTCATACATAAGAAAGTTAATTTACATTACAACCAAGTGAAGCTAAATGTATAATAATAATGAATATTTAATATTGTGAAAAGTTTGTCACTGATTTTAATTTCTATTCTACTTCTATAATAACTTTGATCAATATACTTAGAATGTATTAGGAGCCAGTTTGGTCTAGTGGGTGAGGCCCCAGGTTAGAAACCAGGAGACTGTGAGTTCTAGTTCTAGATCCAAAAAAAAGGCTGCGGGAAAAATGCTAGGAAGAAAAAAAAATAGAATGTATTATTTGTGACTATCTAGTCTTTGTTTCTCTAAAGTGTGTTAACACTTGTAAAGCAAATGTCTGTATATACCATGTATTCCATTATGTATCAAAATAGAATCTATATATGATATAACTCAACCAAAAAAGTCAAGTGAACATTCAAACTTTCAACTTGAACACTTTAAAACCATCCAGAGTCATTGGGCCAGCATATACATTTATTAAATAAATAAATAACAATATGAAAATTTGGGTGGATTTTTAATTGTTTTATAATCTATGACCCATTAACATATATGTTTAGGGAAATAGCTAATGTGTTTCAGTAATGGTATTTTTCATACATAGCCTAAGGTTTTCTTTCTTTTTTCTTATTTAATAAAAAAGTGGACATATCTTTCAGAAAAGGTCTTTGAGAATCTAGCATTCTTCACAGAATTTAATTAGTCAAAAAAGGAATATTAGAGTTCTGAATTTAAATTATATACATTGTTTTTGTCTTATGAGCCTTAAAAGGAAACAAATACAATTTTTTTATTATAAAACATAAGGTATTATTTTATTTTAAAATTAAAAAATTAAATTAAAATTAAAAAAAACATTTTATTGGCTACTTTAAGGAGAATCAATTTATCCTCTTGTGAGAACTCAGTACTGATTTATTTCATGGCTGTCAGCAATATATTTAGAGTGTGTACACATGTAGAAGCAGAAAGAAATTTTGTGGGTAATGCCATAAAATTAAGACAGAAGAAAAGTTTATTCTATGTCAAAAAATATAGTGATTTCATTATCCTAAATCAATTAACATTCTGTTTATCTATTTCAGCCTTTTGATTGATATCAAGTGTAGTGTCCGTCCATCCATCTTCGCTAGACTAGTGAATTTTATAATAATAAATTGAACAAAGGTTCTAGAGTAAATAGATTTGGCGTACTAGAACAATATTCAGTGAAGAAAAGCATGGTTTTCTGTAACATTCTGTAGCATTGATCAACTCCGTTTGGGATAGATCTAGAAACTTCAGTAAATTGTCTTTCTATATACAAAATTTCCAATTTACTTTTTCTTACTTCAGAATGGGGCATCTTGAATATACTGTAAAAGATTTGGCATTATAAAGTTCATCTATTACTCTTTGTGTAATCATTTAAGGTTAAACTAAAGAATGAAAATCATACTCAATTTCTCAGGTATAACATAAATCATTACATAAATAATGGAAAAGCAAATGTCATATAAACATAATACTCAATTTCTCAGGTATAACATAAATCATTACATAAATAATGGAAAAGCAAATGTCATATAAACATAAACAGTATTGATGTCTTCACCCTACCTATTAGTTAGGTAGACAGCAGAGACAGTCAGAAAGCTAGAACAAATCTAAATTAGGCATTTCCAGAAATAGACAGAATTATTTATTATTCTGTTCTTTATATAAACACTCTGTAGTATATGCAAGCCTATATATTTGATGGCATTCTTTTTCTGTCCCTGAAAAAAAAAATGTTAAAACTAGTAGATACATACAATATATCCTCAAATAATCTGCAGTAAATTATCCGATCGGAAAAATATGGCTAATAAAATATTAGACATTTCCATATTACATCATTTTGGTCCTTGAGAAAAAAAATAGCAATCTGGTGTGTCCTAACAGCTTTTTTAGAGGTAATTATCATTTTATATGCCTAGCTTAATTATTTTTTTACTTAACACTTTTATGTCTTGCCTATCCTCTATAGCATTATAGATAGCACAAACTAACTTGACATATTACTGTATGTAAAAGCTGCTATTTCCTACATTGCAATTTTCTGTTTAAAGTAGAAATATCCTCAGTATGGATAAATTACACTGAGTTCAATGGACTGTATATTTTCTGTTTAAGTGAGTGTATCTTGCCTTTGTGTTCAGTAATTTCTTTGCACTCCAGACCTAAAGAAATATAATCAAATGAAGCATATTTTAAAATATGGCAGCAGGATATTTCAGAGTTTTGTTATTTACTCCCTAGAATAATATTATTTATTTATTTATTCAAAAATTATATATGTCTTCCTGTGTTTCTCAGAGGGTGTATGTTTGTGTAGCAGTGTTTTAAGCAATGCTTTGGAACCTTCTTAAATTTATCTGATTGCATCACTAATTCGCTTGAAAGACTCAAACTCTGCAGTGCAGGAAAACAGAATACAATATTAGGTTATAGTTTTATTTCATATTTTAGGTTTACTTGATATGGACCCAGGAATGTACTAAATAAATAAATAAATAAATAGCATAGCATAGCATAGCATAGCATAGCATAGCATAGCATAGCATAGCATAGCATAGCATAGCATAGCATAGCA